AACAGTATGCCGTACTGTTTAGGAGATGCTGTCAGCATACATGCACAAATTGTGGACAAATAACTAGGGGTATGTTTGGATACAGACTATTACGAGTCACCCATGAGTTATACTGGCTAGCGATTGGTTGGTGGTGTACACATATATTCAACAACAAGTAGTGCTCGTCAGCAACACGCTGTGAGACTACTAGCATTGAATACACAGCCACTGCCGAGTATACTTCAGGTGCACATCCAGCACTGACAGATAAGGAATGCTATATACGACACACAACAAGGATGAGGCCGCAGTGGTGGTGCTAAACCCTAACCCCGGACCCTAAATCCTGTTGTATAGGACACACCGCATACCGTTAAACGCGTATGAGAAAAACGCATCTACGGAAACAACTGCAGTTGCAGTCCAGTGAATGGATTGATTCGGCAACAGATGTTCGAATGTCATACACACTTCCGTAGGGACATAGGGTATGGGTGTTAAGCTGGCTGCTAACTGTACCCACATACTTATTATACAAAACAATCAATGTGACATCGAGGGGGGAAGGTTTAGTTCCTATACAATTCTCATCTCAACCAAACACACACACATACACTAACTACGCTTGACACTACACATACATACACTAACGACGCTTGACACAACACACACATACTTATTATACAAAACAATCAATGTGACATCGAGGGGGGAAGGTTTAGTTCCTATACAATGCTCATCTCAACCAAACACACATACATACACTAACTACGTTTGACACAACACATACATACACTAACGACGCTTGACACAACAAACACATACACTAACTACGCCTGATACAGCGCACACACACACACACACTAACTACGCTTGGCACAACACACAGATACACTAACTACGCCTGATACAACACACACGCACACTACGCCTGATACAACACACACGCACACTACGCCTGATACAACACACACATACACTAACTACGCCTGATACAACACACACGCACACTAACTACGCCTGATACAACACACACCCACACTAACTATGCCTGATTCAACACACACGCACACCAACTACGTCTGATACAACACACACGCGCACTAACTATGCCTGATACAACACACACGCACACTAACTACGCCTGATACAACACACACGCACACTAACTACGCCTGATACAACACACACGCACACTAACTACGCCTGATACAACACACACGGACACTAACTACGCCTGATACAACACACACGCACACTAACTACGCCTGATACAACACACACGCACACTAACTACGCTTGACACAGCCCACCTCCAGAGTAGGTCGGACAACAGTACGAACGATCTAAGATGCAGATGCCACACACTATAGCAACTCTTATAATGTGTTAAAGTATATTCCATGACGATGCAGATATTACAATGTGGTTTATGACATAGTAATGGAGTACAAGTGGCATTGCTTGCTGCACTCACTCCGTAGAAGTGTCAACATCTGTACGATCAGAACTCACAAGATTATCACACATTCAAGATAATAATCTCTGCACCGGCACAGGCAAACACAACTCACACAATCCAGTTAACAATCCTCTTGACCACAAGCACACACAACACACAACACACCCAATCCAGTATAGCAATCCTCTTAACCACAGGCACAGGCAGACACAACGCATAACACACAACACATTCAATACAGTATAGAAAGCCTCTTAATCATACGCACAAGCACACACAACACACAACACACAACACACAACACACCCAATCCGGTATAGCAATCCTCTTAACCACAGGCACAGGCACACACAACGCACAACACACAACACACATCGCACAACACACATCGCACAATACACAACACACAACGCACAATACACAACACACAACACACAACACACAATACACAACACGCAACACACAACACACAACACACAACACACAACACACAACACACAACACACCCAATCCAATATAGCAACACTCTTGACCCCGTGGTGTTTGATGGCGTACTCTGCAGCGACGCCAATGTTATTCAACAGACAGAAGCCCCGCCCCATGTCCGGCTCAGCATGATGGCCTGTCATAGTACACCGGTAGTAGGACGAGGAGATGAGGGTGCAGATGAGTGTGTGCATACCTGAAACAGTTGTAGAGTATAAGTATAAGTAATGAGTGTCGATTTTATGTAGTAAGTGTGATATATGCATGATGGCTTGTCATAGTACACCGGTTGTAGGACGAGGAGATAAGTGTGCAGATGAGTGTGTGTATACCTGAAACAGTTGTAGAGTATAAGATAAGTAATGAGTATCGAGTTTGTGTAGTAAGTGTGATATAGGCCCATAGGCGCCGTGTAAGCGTGTGTAGGTTCGTTTTGCACTCAGTCACCCTAGGCTCGGCATTGTATTCTATAGGGTGGGGAGTGAGATGAATATCCGTTAACGTATATTAAATGAGTACAACCATTCAGCAACGAGTCTTCACGTGCCCGGCATGGGCAGGATGTTTGCG